TATATATATATATATATATATATTTATATATATATTTATATATATATAAATATATATATATTTATATATATATTTATATATTTATTTATTTATAAAGTAAGTGTTCATCCTGCCAGAGGATAGAGATCGTAAATCTCTCTTTAAACGGTCATATATTAACGATAATAAAGATAATAAAGGTAATAATAATTTCAGTGAGAATAATTATAATAATAATGGTCGATCAGGGCGGTCTTGAGGAATTGGCGCGTCCCATTGTACGACGTGCGCGTATCGATCCGTGTGTAACATACGCGTGCTTTTAATATTCAACGTAAAGTATTTAACGATCACGGCGAGCGATTGTCGCGATGAGCGCGATCGGTCTTGAACTTTCCTCTGTTTCGCCACTCTCAGCGCCGGATCGATTTCTCAAGACGCATCGTTGATTGATAAAATCAAATTGCCGGAACCCACTTGTTCTTGGACAAAGCAAATGTGTATTGATTGAATTAATCGTTACGATTATCTTCTAGATAAGAACAAGTTGCCCCCTCGAGGTCAGTATTAATGAAAAAAGATAGTGTTCGTGTGGAATTATCGTGACACTTGTCCTCGCGGAATTAATGTGTGATCGGTCATTGCAGAGCATAAAATTAACGATGCCACTGGCTTGGTAATTAACAAACTGGCTTTGACACCGCCCATCGGAAGCGAATATCGTTTATATGCTATCTCAAAGTCGTGCTGTGGATCCGTGCGTGCTGCGTCGCCGGGCATAAGATCCTCTATTCATTATGTCATTTAGTTATTTTGTTATTTATATAATTAATTATTACGTTATTTAATTAGTTCGTTTTATTTTATACCTAACTAATATACTCGCCTATCTAGGGAAGAGTTATTTTTTTCTTCATCATCCTCGATCGTGGACGCGCCAATTCCCGCTGTTTGTCCGCCTGGCTTAAGGATTCAGCGTAAACAATAGGCACGCGTACGTCATCATATGCGAGCGAATAAATGCATATAGCTACCATAGAATATATCACAACGACAAAACGTTAGATTTTCTCTCTTTCTCTCTCTCTCTCTCTCTTTCTCTCTTTCTCTCCCCTCCCTCCTTCCCCGCTATTATAGAGACTCCGAGTAGATAACGGATGTACAGTTATATAAATTGCATATAACGCTTCCTGTTGGGGCGGACGTGGAAGTGCATTGATACTTATATATTATGTACGAGCACAACCGAAGAAAGAAACGAACGAGGGCTGGACACGCGATTTGCGCCTTTAGGCGCACGGCAACTCGCGCCGTTCGTTATTTGCATTGTCGCGTGATCGCGATTGGTGGTAGCCGGATGTCGAGTGTTGCGGCGCGGAAAACGCGAGAGCGAAATAAGTCGCCGAATTGCCGCGCGAACGGAACACCGCGCGATCGATCGTGCTTCGCGATGAGAAATAATCGCGGCTGAGTTTCGCGAATAACGCGGAATGTAAGCCCGTCGCCGGGCGTCGCGTCGACGACGCCTCGCGTCGCGTCGCGTCGAGGATATCAAGAGAAGTGGAGAAAGCGTCTCCGCAGCTAGAAGAATCTCGTAGCGACGATCGAAACCGTTGCAATTATCTCGCATCGGGACATCGATGCTACAGACACGCGAAAGTCATCGCGCTTATTCGTGCTTACTCGTGGCAATGGAACGCGAGGATTCGTGCGGTCCTTTCCCTTTTCACGTACACGTAGCGTCGAAAAATTCGATCGGTTTCAATCCTTGCTTCGTATAGTCTTAAGACACACGGCGTGGAAATATAAAATTATGACGTATCTACTTGAGAATTTTTCAAGCTAGGTCCACGGTCTAATAGAGTTGAATGACTTTGAAAAATAGCTTTGTCGAAACCGACTCAGACGAGACAAACATATAAAAAACGTCTAAAAGGCATCTTAAACACGTTTAAAAGACCTGTCAGTGTTTTAGGCGTTTTTTAAATATTTCGTAGATCTACTTTGACTTTAGTGTCAGTGAGAAGATTGTGTACTTAATCGCGCGTGCACCATTCGATTAATCTATGGAAAAGCTAGTGCCTGCGACTCTGCGTCTAGTTTTGACGATTTAAAGTAATTTTCGATAACGATTCAAAGTAATTTTCTGTCTCGAGTTTTGCAAACGTGGCTCGCGCGATGAAGCGGACGTCGCCGATTGTGGATTTCAAGTACAACGTTTCTTAACAAGCGCCGCGCGCATCGTTGAATCGTTGATATCCCGAAGTTATTTGTAACCCCTTTCCCGATGACGGAGAGTCGATAAAGGGTGGCCGACGTCATGTAATAAAAATCGCATGATCCCGCGTTCTCGCATTGGTAGAACGTGACGCTTGAGTACGACCATCCCTCCTTCGTTTCTCTCTCGGATGTCTGGGGTGGATAGTGATCCAAGGCAGAATCCCCGGCTAGGATTGCCTACTTTCATAAAGAATTCTCACGTGGTACTAAGGCAAGGAGCTCCTTATTAAATGCGCGCAACTGACAGGAGCGTCTGGTAAACGGACTATTTGGCGATTGCGAAGTAGAGTGGAGGAAGAGAATGGGGAGACGCGAAGAGTAAGGGCGACGGCGTAGAAGGGGTGGGAAAGAGTCGGAGGGTGGGTTGGGCGTGTCAGCTGGTCGATATCCTGAATGGCAAGCTTCCACGGCCCAGCTTGCAGTCAGCCGCTGTGTCCGAGAGGCGAGAGAGAAGGCCAAGCAAAAAGAGAGCGCGGATGTGTATGTATATATACAGAATGTTCCAGAAGTTGCATTTTTCCCGAACCACGGACGCCAGAAGTCAAAGCAGACAGAATGTCGCTCTATCGTTCCTGAATTACGAACGACTGACGATCAGCGATGTTTTTGCGAGGTGAATTTCTCCGCGAGATACTCATAGACGAGAATATCCATTATTACTCATATATAGTACCCGCTTCGGCAGCATTTTCATTCCAAATTTAATTATCAAGATGCACGATCTCGTCAGATAATAAAGCAAAAGAAGCACCCAATCCAATCTTTGCCGAAGGGGAATTGATTATGTTCGAAGGAAAGAGCTTGATTACCAGGACGATCAGTATATGAAATGCTCGAAGAAAGGAGCATGGCTTCGGATGCGTTTTTCTCCTTTTTTCTTTCTTTTTTTTGGAAGGGGGGTGTCTTGCTAAGTAATCGACGTCCGTATCGGCGAATGGTATATCAGAAAATGAGAGCAGCGAGTGCACGGCACTCGAAGAAAGGAAGTGGAACGCCGTGCAATTAGCGTTAATTAAATTGACAAAAATGCAGCACGTGAGCACGAAAATAGAGAAATCGTTATGCTTCGCCGAGAGGGGAGGGGGGAAGGGGAAGGCAATTTATATACGAAGATAAAAGCGATTGTATCTCGCTGTTTTCGTCTCGCATAGATGCTACGGAGAATGTCGATGAGATAAGCTGCGACTTAAGTCGATGAAATCCAGCACAATCGTTGCGTTGCTAACGTTGCACGACGTGAGAATAATTTGAGACGCTCCGATGAGAGAGCGTCGAATATCTCGATATTCTGAAGTAACGTCACGATACACGTCGCGGTTATTAATTAATTCTATTTCTTTTTCCCCCCGCCTGTTTAAACCATGGTTGAATAAAGCTGCGTTTAATCGCGACACGTGTATGCTCGCCCGTGTTAATTGTACACGGGGACTTCTCTAGCGAGAATTTTTTTGGTAGGCGAAAATAGATATCGAACGAGCGCGCTGAGCCGCGTGTATCTTCTGCCTTGGTTCGCTATTCGCCTCGAATTTCAACTCGATTGGAATGGTTTTTCTGTGTTCGTTTTTTTTTTGTTTTTTATCGTCCGATCTATAATCGTCATACGTCCCGGGAGTTTCTCTACGTAAACAGTCGCGACTACGTAGTTCGAGCTAAGAGTACTCCCGATTGAGCCACGCGCACACGCACGTACACGCGTACAGAGAGACGCCCCGGGACGAGTGACGAGAGTTACGCCGGGTTTCGCCGTAGCAGCGACGCGTGTCACGCACAGAAATACAAAAGGCGTGTTAAAAGTCGTAAAAAAGTTCTACGAAACGAGAAGAAACCGTTGCCGTTTACTTTGGCGATAATCGAAACAAATGCGGATGCCGAGGAAGCGCCGCTACCGCGAAACCGAACGGCTTTCGTCGCTTGGGCGTCTTGCGTCGTATTCATATCCCCTTTCCCCACTCCCCCTTTCTTGCTACTGCGATTTTTCGATTTCGCGCGGGATCCTTCATCGATCGTCTGTACGCGTCCTCTGCGTACGCACGTGTGCACGCACGTGTCTAATATGCACGACGCGTACCTAACGCGGCCGCGTACGCGCGCGCGTATATTAGTTAATATACATGTACTTATACTTACTTAAATAATAATTCGCACCAGTCTCCGATAGAGTACATCGTTTGTCTTCGTTCGGACTATAAACTTTCCCGCCCGTCGCTTTCCTCGTCCAGTGCGCACGCGCGCATTCACACGTACACATTTACGCTCATTCTCTCTCTCTCTCTCTCCCCCCCTTGCGCGCTCTCTTTCTCGCTCGTTCACTCTTTCGCATGCACGCGCACACACGCCACGCGATTTCCACTACGTTTCCTCCGTCCGCGCTCGTGAGCTGTTGACGGCATCAGAGCGACGATCCAAACTCGACCTCGACGAACGTCGATAATCTTATATTTTTTTTCCGACCTCGCGCCGCGCTACCGCGATTGAATCGTCGCTGTTCGCACCGACGAGTCGCGGTGTCGTTACTTAGAGTTAGTTAACGTTACTATATAATATGGTGGCTAAATTGACAAGTGTTTATATCGAAGGTATTTTCTCCGTTTAAGATCTAGAGATACCTAGACTGGCAATGTTTTATGGTATGTATGCTCGTGGATTCGCCTTCGAGATGTTGAGCTCCTGCTTGCTTGTCCGTCTTCGTGCTCGCGTCGCGACCTAATACGTCCCTATGTATCGGCGCGCAACACGCCTATATATATACATATATATATATATACATATATGTTATATATATATGTATATATATTTATGTACCAGGATTTTTAACGAAGAACGTCTCGTGGAGACAGTCGAAGGTTGCGCGAGTCCGACCGCTGCTCGACAAAGCGAGAGCTCGCGCCCGGAAGAATTGTAGCCACGACGCCGCGCGCAGTAGGTAATGCGCGCGTTTGGTCAGCCATCAGAGCGGCGGGCGTCCGTCCGCTTTTACTTTCCAGTGATCGCGAGGTACTCCCGCTCGGCCGCGTGTGGCTGCCCATGCTCGTCCGCTACTACTTCTAGTCGTGGAGAAGTGGTTATCGGCGCCCTCGAGATGGACCTAAGCGCACGTTCCGAGTGCACTTGTTACGTCCGCGAGCTGGTACACGGCCGTTCTCGGTTGTCGTTCCCTCGTCTCGAAGTAGTCAGCCGAGTAGGCGTCTCAATTCATCCTCCTCGAACCACATTTTCGCCTCTCTCCGCGAACCGGCCTTCGTCCAGCCCTCCCGCGTGAGCGTTCGGCTTTGCGCACGCTGTCGCCTTCTTCCATCCCTCTCGATTCGGAGCGCCGCGACGTCGTCGTCGTCGTCGTTTACTTGGCCTCCTCGAGCAGCACGAGATCGTCCGCGACCACGTCGCTGATGTGGAGGTAAATGATCCAGTACATCAGGTTGAAACAGACGAAGCACACCGGGAACACGATGCGGGAGTACTTGTCGATGTCCGACGGCGTGATGCCTATTTTGGGAACGTCAGGACGACTTAGAACAGTCGTGGCGCATGGGACAGCGGAGGGAAAATAGTTGCATATTTCAGTGAGCTTCCGAGAATTCGCGCGGTGCCGGTTTCAATCGGGAGGGTAGAGAAGCGTACTAACGGTGCAATTGTAATGCTTGGAAATAAATCGTACAAAAGTTTCTCGTGTGGCAAAAAGCTTTCCGCGGTACGATCGGTGACAAGCAATTTTGGAGCTTGGTGTTTCAAGCGCAGAGAGAGAGAGAGAGAGAAAAAGAGAATGTATATATATAATATATAGTACAACGGTCGCAGGCGCGTGGTATCATCGACTATGAATCTTGCATGGTGTTCGGTAAGTTCCAAATACATACATATTGTGCGTGCTGACGACGCTAGCTCTCTTTAACCGGCGATGATACCACGCCGGAGGCCTTCCGAGCTCGCTGACGGTTAAGCCGTACAGTGACGCTTATTAAGTCCCGTTCAGAAGCTCGTTGAAATAGACAGCCTGCCAAGCTAAGAACCGAATATTGTTTGATAGCTTGCCAGGCGGGGGGTAAAATAGTGTTATAAATGTGCGTACATGGTCTACTCATACCGTAGAGCTTGGTGATGTCCTTGCCAGGATGAATAAGATGTTGCGGCGCGCCCGCCGTTTCCTCATCGGCGCGACCGTTTATGGTGTTCTCGAGTGTCCCACCTTTGCTGTGTGCCTTTGGGTCGTGCACCTTGAACCGCACCTCCTGGACAACACGGGACCACTTACAAGAGACACGGCAGTTCGCCGTGGGGTGTCCCTCTCCGAGGTTTACCCCTTACTTTGTCGGATTGGCATGCGACACCGAGGAGACTGGCAGTGTGTATCGTATCGTTCAACGCAGTGACGTCCAATTTTTACGTGATCATCGGGGCGGTCGACATTCGAGAGGAACTCACCTGCATTTCACGTAGCCGCTCGCGATTCGCGTCTGTTAGGTTTTTTGTTTTTATTCTCTCGTTTGCTTTTTCTTCAAAAACGGGAAAAATGTGAAGATAGGGGGAGGAGGGTGTCGTAAAAATGGGACCACGGTTTGTAGAAAGGCGCGGTGTGATTGCTCGTGCCCAAGCAAAACGGATCGGTGAGAATCTGGTTAGAAGCTGGTGTACGTGGTGCTATTAGGTGTCGATGAGGTGTTCGGGGAGGTTATTATTTTTGGTCATCATAGTGGCAAGCTTTAGCTCTTGCACATGTGTCGACGGGAGACCTGTATTTATTTTAGGTTCACAGGACACAACGGGATTAGGACTGTTTAATTCCTAATTAATGTCGAAGTTAGTTAGTTGCCGGAAAATTCTGGAATATTTACGACGACTTTATTATCTTACCCTATATTATCGGTTATATAGATGCGCTTGAGAGCGCATTAAAAATGAGAAAGTCAGCAGAGGTATTAAAATGAGAAGATATTAGATTCGATTTTAACATCCTCCTCGAAAAGGGTAGTCATTAGCTGTAAGAAGGCTCGAAAGAAATAAACGTAATTATTGAAGATGTTAATCAAGAGAGTCACGTATCGTCGTTGGACATCCTCCGTCGAATTATGTGCAATTAACTTCCTGGTCGTAATTAATTAAAAACGTCTTATCCTGCCAACGCTTTACAAGCGTCCGCTGTCCATCCTGTTCAACCCTCACGCCCATTCACCTACTTCTTTCCGCCCTCCTCTTCCCTCCTTCTCTTTCTCACTCCCTTTCTCTTTCGGCGCTTTAATATTTCCCGTTCCCGGTCTACAATACCCAAGATTAAAAGAAAATTTATAGTGCATCGCGTCCTGCAGGCACGAAGCGCGCTGCGTCCGGCGCGTTGCGCGGCCGAATGGGAATTCATTTCGCGAAACCTTTTAGCTTTTGACCTTTCGTGGATCGTCCTGTCGTTTCTAGTTTTCTTTTTTTTTTCTGGGGAGAGGAAAAGTGCATATTTACGCTGGTACGAGCGCCCATGTTGAGCTGGATCGAAAATAATGCCTGGCTCCGTCCTGTTGAGCCTGCACTCGTGACGAGGGAGAAGAGCCCGAGTAGCTCTAATATCCATTTGCCGCCGACTATCGAAGGTATCGAATTTATGGCGATCGCCGCATTATTCGATGCCGCGCCATCGTTTAAAATTTCTTTCAAAGTAGAATTTTCTTCGCCGTTGGCGTACGACAGGAAAAACGATACTCGTCCGGTACTCTTAGTACCAAGCGGCTCTCGGGAGCCATAAAGTCACGTGACAAATGCTGCGATTACGCATAAATCAATAATTGCGATCAGCATTTTTCTTTCTTTTTTTTTTTCGTCATATCGACACAGAGCTGATCGCTTACGCGCTGAAAGGAAGCGTGCGAGATCGACCAGGGGGAGTGGTAGCACATCTCTTTCCCTGGTTACGCGGGCGACAAAACGATATTCTGCGTGGAAGAAAAAGTCGGGTACGACGGCGCTCCGGCCGACGTTACTCACAGTTTGTTTAGGCGCGTGATCGCCATGATCGCCGGGCACGCGCGGCGGTCCTGGATTCTCGCTCGCGGCCTTCATGCTCTCCGCTATCTTTTGGAATCGATTCTTCCGCATCTGAATCCTCTTCGCCATGTAGCCCACCGTAGCGTATTCTGCGAAGAAGAAGAATCCACGGGAATGAAAACACGTAACCATTCAATGCCACGACACGACTGCCACTGTAAGACCCGGGCGGTAAGCCCGGTACATGGGCCCCCACTTCCATCCGTCGAGAATCTCAGTCATGCTTGCGCTCCCGGTACTTGTGTAGAGCTCACGTGCAGATGAAAGAAAGCCATTTCCCTGGAAACCCTGCTAAGCAGGACACCGCGATGGCGAAGTACCTTGATGTCGTACGTAATGAGGTACTCGCGATCGCAGTCAGGAGAATACAACAATGTGTCGGCCGTGCTTCTAATTACTTAAACGAACCCGCGGATATGTCATGCCTTGTTCGCTCGTGTTCCCAGCGATTTCTTCACGCTTTCTCGTCTCGTAAAAAACAATCGTCGCGACGGCGTTTCGCCGTAGATGAAAACCGTACGGTCGTCGAACGACAGTACGGGGGTTAACCGCGGACGGATGGGTAACGATTTCGAGGAAAATGGGTCCCTTGCATTTGTCACGTGAGCCCTGCACAAGTATCCGTCTACGATACTCTACGAGCTCGCTACTGGAACGGCACGGCTCCGAGCTATACGGAGTATGAGAGGACGCAGGATGGAAAGCTTAATGGCAGCGACGTAGAGGCACGGAAGAGTACACGATCGCACTCACCGAGCAACGAGGCAAAGACCATGACGAAGCAGGTGCCCAGATAGACGTCGATGGACTTGACGTAGGAGATCTTTGGTAGCGCTGCGTTCGTCGAGGACATTAGGGTCGTCATAGTGAGCACAGTGGTTACTCCGAGGGCCACCCGAGCGGGGGTCGCGTTTCGGTTTAGCCAAAAGCTCACCCACGATATTATGACAATCAGCCCCGAGGGTATGTAGATCTGGATCAGGTAGTAGCCCATCGACCGTACGAACTGGATCTCGCAGGCCAGCCGCGAGTAATTCCCTGCGATTAAAAGATCGAAGGTCAGGACAGGGAGACGGAGAGGCGCTATTTAATGTCTCTTTATCTCCCGTGCTCACTGTCCTTCCTCCTCACTGTTCGTTTATCTCTCTCTCTTTCTCACTTTCTCTTCCCACGTGTTCTCTCTCTCTCTCTCTCTCCCCCTCTCTCTCTCCCATCCGTGCTCTCCTCCCTCCGATCTCCCCCCTCCCTCCCCGCCCGTTCCGTCACTGGCCTCTGCCAGGAAAAGCGGTTTCATTGTTCGCGAGTGGCTTTCTCTATTTCTTGCGCCGGCCGGAAATACGGCGCGCCAGAGCTGGCTGGATGTTAAGTGAAATTCGCATCGCCGATGCGCGACTCTTTGTGCTCGCCTTTTCTGTGTATCGTATATCTCTTCGTGTAGGTGTGCGTGGTGTGCACGGTTACCATGTGAAGTGTAGCGCCGGCGGCGGCGTGGTGTATCTCTCGTGCGTCGTTCGTCGTCTCGAGGGGCTCGAGATTGCGATTCGGAGGAAGAAAAATGAGGAATCGATTGGGACGGGGAATCCAGTTGTCCCGCAATTTCCACTTTCCACTAGTGTCTCTCTCTCTCTTCCGCTCTTGCGAATTCACGCTGATTCGTTCCTCGCGCCCACCATTATCGAGAACGACGTGGCGAGGAGAAAGACATTAACTCGCCTGTGCGTCACTTGGCCGCTACCTGCGGCCGTGATCGTCGAGAGAGTCGTGAGAGGGGCACGAAACACATCGAAGAATGACCGAGAGAATCGAGAGAGAAGCCTTTGAAGCCGCTCCCGACCTGAACACATGTCACAGGGAACTCGCTCGCGCCATGGCAAACATGACAACGGAGATGGCGCAGAGATCAGACACGCCATGCCGTGCCAATAAGAAGACAATCGTCCCAGAAGTTTCGATCGAACCGAGCGGGGAGGTCGCGACGATGATTCCTTGAGGAAAAATATTCGCGCGAGGAATGTACGAGAGCCGGCTATCCGTCAAATTCAACGCCAGCCAGCTCTATTCCATGAGATTCGGCTGCAGAGTCGCGAGATCGCGCGAGATCGCGAGAAAGAGAGAGATCGATCGATCGATCGACGGCTATAAGTATACAGGATCACGACGGTTCTCTCACGAGCGACAATTGCGCCTGCGGACATCGGATAGCGCTCACGTGTCTCTCCACCTTACCCATGCCGTTAAAAGCGAGGGTTGAACAATTATTTGTTGGTGGTGGGNTACGTTACCGGTGGTAAGACTAATCTCCATGGCACGCTGACGGTGACCGAGGACCTTGAACTGAGGGAGCGAGACCTCGTTGCTGACCCCGACGCTGTTCGGGCCTTCGTTCCACTTGTACCGGATGTCCCTCATCGTGTATCCGACTGAAAAAATAGAGAGACCCCCCGCGGTTGGTACGTACCTTCGCGGAAGCCCTCAAACGCATTTCAGCTCCGAGGGGGCCTCCACTTACCTCGCACCCCCATCAAACCTCATGAGTCCGTGCTCTCTTTCACTTTCTCCCCTTTCTCTCTATCACAATTTTTCCGTTCCTTTCTTTCTTTCTATCTATCTGTCTCCCTCTCAGCAAGTTTATCTTACTCTCTGTCCTTCTCAGCGAGAGATGCCCTCGCGGCGAGAGCCATCGAGAGCCCAGATTAAACTAACTTTAAAAGGGGGTTGTGTGGGCGGAATATCTGGCGTGTGATGAGAGATCGTGGAACGATCTTCTCGATCGTTGGGCGCGATCGAGAAGCGGAAGGCGCGTATTCATCCGTATTTACGAGTCCGTCGTGTCGATTATTGTTTTGATGTTGTAGATGGTGGATGTTGAGCCAAAGGTGGACGTAATACTATTCCTGAAACCCATTTGCGATTTACGTAAACTCGATGCGCACGCGTCCGCCGTAGAGCCGCGAGAGAGCCATTTCGTTCGACCCGCGCGTCAGGAGGAGATCTTAGATCTCGACCTCCGTCTGATACTTCGTGAACGTGCGACTCTTTCTTTCTACGGACATCGCTAACCGGCAACGACGGATTGGGCCGTTCGAGCTTGTACGTAAACGATCGTACGGCAAGAGTAAAAATAGTATATCGTCCACCTGCGGGACCGTGAGGAGGAACCAAGTTTGGGGACGATGGATACGCGTGACTCAGCTACCGTCTGCGTCTTCCGTAATGTAGGTAAAAACCGGCGAGTCGATCAGTCGATCGGTCGAAATGAATGGCCGCGGGACTACGCGGTCCCATCGAGTAAGCTCGTTTCTTACATAATTAAACGTGTTCGCGAAAAGACAACACAGTGATCGGTGCATATCGGTGCGGATAAAGTAGGATTCACATTATATATATATGTATATATAATACGCATCGAATCTCTCTCGACTGGAGCCGTGGTGTGTTGCCGCGTGCGAATGTGTACCACTGACCGTGTGCGCGCACATTCGCACACATACACACACACACACACACATACACACGTCTCGCTCCGACATTCGCGGTATCGTTATATTCGCAATTCGACTAAATGCGACAACTGTGTAGGCGATTCGCACTTCTTTTTTTTCCTTTCCACACACGCAAACACACACACACGCACACACACATATATATATATATATTGTATATACATACATATATATTATTCGCGCGAACTTCTGGACCAAGTTTAGAAGGAAGAACGAATAAGAGGGGAATATCTACCTGTAGATAGGTGTATGGTTGTCTGTCGTTGCCTGTGACCGAGCACGCGAAACTGCGGTAGTTCCACCTCGTTCGACATGCCGACCGACTGTAGGCCGGCGTTCCATTTGTACCGAATATCGCGCATTGTGTATCCAACTGCCGGGAGAACAAGAACACAAATATCTTCGCTCTAACATACAGTAATTAGACACTCAGGTGGTGTTCGGGACGGGAGGGTACCTCGGGGAGTACAGTAATTAGAAGCAAAGTTATCGCGAGCAACCTAAACCGTTCCCGTTGTTGCGTCACAATCCAATTCTGCCGGGATAGCATAAATGTCTCTCGCGCGGAATCGATTTAGGATGCCCTCCGTGCCGCTGTATCACGGACGTCATCGAGTTAGACGTCATAATCCTCGCCGATGCGGGCACTCGTTCTCCCTTTTCACCCGCGACGCGTAGTATTCCGCAATTTTTTCGCACGTTGCGCCGTAGACAAACATGAAAAACTGGGGATCTCGCGGATTCCCGGAGTCTCATCCCCGTGTGAGAAAATTTTACGCCGGAGATTCGGCTTTATAGCGAAAGTAGAACGCAATTTCATTCTGCGAGATGATCCCGTTCTCTTTTTGGTACCGTGTACCCTTGAATCTACATAAAGGGACAGCACTACCTGCGCGTAGTCGCGACTATCTTTCCCGTTCGCGAAACGATGCGTCCGTGATATCTTGAAAACCGAATCTGCGGTAAGCACGTCCGGAACCGCGCGGGAATTGACGTTGAGAGCGAATGTGCGCGTTAGGACGACACGTACCATTCGGATGCAACACGTACTCGATTTAAGGCTCGTCGTTTCTTCCAAACGAGCAGCCCGCAATCGGGTTTTCCCGATCGATCACTACTCGCGCCTATTTGCGCCCTCTAATTCCTCCGCGCGGCCTCCAGCGCGTACATACCGCATCGAGAAACATTCCTCCGTAACTGAATCTTAGGTGATTACGATCGTTACACCGCATTCCAGGCACCAAAGTGGCATTCCGTCGCGGTGGCGGCCACATTGCGCGAGCATCGGCCGAACGTGGATTAAGCGGTACGCCCCCGAGTATGCCAGATTAATTGCTTTTGTTTTTGTGTGGAATCCGGCGATGCCCACTCGCGTTTTATCCCGCTCGATAATTCGTCGCGATCGCCCGTACGGCGGACACAGCTGCATGCGGCGCCGCGCAAAACCACGATTTCGGTAATGACGTTACGCTTCGCAACGGACGTGTTCGACACCGCCGGTGAGCCGCGATATAAATAGCTGGCTTTGCTCGTCTCGCTGCGTTCGCGCGAGGAGAGAGAGTTTGCACTCTGACCGTTATCATGATAACACCCGGCTTTTTGTAATATCTCGTACATATATATTTTATGTTTCATTCTTCTCCTTCCCTCCCCCCCCCC